CAGTGCTCGGAGTAGAGGTCTTGAGTCTCTCCCATCCCTCCTCTCCTCCCTTTCATAGCAGCTTCCCCGGGAGGTGCCCCTGGAGCACCCTGGACCGAGGGGTTTGCGGGGCTGGGCCGGGGCGGGGGGAGGGGGGGGAGTGGGACCCGAAGGAAGCGGGGTCCGGGTTCGGGAGAGCGCGCTCCTGGAGGCGGGCGCGGAGGGACAGAGGTCGCTTCTTCCTGGCGGGGCCCCAGGAGAACACGAGTAGCTGCTGACATCTCGCCCCCATGGGGGGAGATGGCCTGATGGGCTCTTGGTTCTCCATCAGGTTCGAGGAAGGACAGAGCCGAGGGTGGGGCGAGCACAGGGTGGATGGGCTGTGTGTGCGAGTCAGAGATAGTGTCGGGGAGAGGCCCGTGCCCAGGAAGCAGGCAGTGCGCCCCGGAGGAGGCCACGGGAGGAAGGGGCATGCGGAGGTGCAGGTGCTGGCTGGGAGGAGGGGACGGTGCCCAGGAAGGGGGCGGTGTGGGAGCAGCCAGCCTCCTGGGGGAAGGGGCCATCAATGTCAGGCCAGAGTGTCCGCAGAAGAGGAGAGTGCCAGGATGAAGGGGCACACAGATCAGTGTCCAGTGGGGAGGGAACGAGCAGTTCCAAGCTGAAGGGGCAGTGCTCCGGAGGGCACAGTGTGATGGGGTCAATGCCAGGCTACAGGGGGCGGTGTGAGCAGGCTCGGGGCAAGAGGACAATGGTGGGGAGGGTGCGGTGCCAGGGGAAGGCATAGTGCAGGCTTTCCTCTTCTCCATAGTGACATCATGGCAAATTCCCAAACTGAAAGGACCCAGCTCGGGTGACATCCAGCAGGGCCGAGCTGGGCCAGGCCGGCCTGAAGGGCCTCGGTGCCAGCTGCAGGGGCTCGGTAGGTCCTGCGCCATGCGGCGCCGGCGCTCTGGGGGCGGGGTTCTGCTCCGCCCTTTCTCGGCGCGGACTGTGCCCTCGGCAAGCACGCGTGCTGGCAGGGTAGGGCTGGGCTGGGCTTCTCTGGGCCAAGGATCAAGGTCTCTGGCTGGGGTAGGCCCCCATGCGTTCCAGTGTTCTCAACAGGAAGACTGGAGAGGGCGCAGTCGAGCCTCCGCGGAGAGCGAGGAACCGCGCCACCTCGGCGGGAGGTGGGGGTCTGTCTTATTGTGATCCCGCCCTGGGGCGGGGTTATCGACCTGAGGCCCGCCCTCAACACTGAAGTCTCCGAAGCGTAGTTCGGGGCGGAAGTTAGGAAGCCCCGAGAGCTAGGCGACGGAAGTGGCCGCGCTCCTGCCTGCCTGTGCGCAGGCGTTATTCTATTTCCTTGCGGCTGCAGTTTAGGCCGCACCTTTTCCCCTCTCCCGCTCGTTTCCTCCGCGCGAGGGGGTGCGCGTACCCCTAGTCGTGGTTGAGCGGTCAGCGCCCCCGGTGCTCCCCTCGTCGCCCTGTTACCATGGCCGGCATTCTGTTTGAGGATATTTTTGATGTGAAAGACATTGACCCGGAGGGCAAGAAGTTTGATCGAGGTAAGTAAGGTATGTAGAGGCGGTTTTGGGTCAGGGACTAGTCCGGTTCTCGGGGACACGCCCCCGGGTCCGGTCCACCCAACCCACGTGGCATGCGTCTCCCGTCAGGTCCTGATGTAGGGACCGCGCTCAGGAAACACTTTATAGATGAAAGAACGGAGACTCCGAGCTCTCCTGGGTTCACACATGCTGTGCCCGGTGCCTGGGTGGCCTTTTCTCGTGGTGCTGGTAAACTCCTGGGCATCTTTCTGGTCACTGCCCACTCTGCCAGGCGCTGTCCTGTGCACCTTCCACGCTTTGTCTGATTTCTTTCAAGAGTCTGCATGAGGTAGTTATTGTCTTACCCGTTTTTCTCCGAGAAGTAACCCACCCAAGGCTGCACAGCAAGTAATCTGACTCCAGAACCTATATTATTATTATTATTATTATTATTAGTTTTTATTGAGTTTATTGGGGTGTCATTGGTTGACAAACCCATATAGGCTTCAAGTGTACAATTCAACAGATCATCTGCATACTGCATCGTGAGCCCATCACCCAAAGTAAAGCCTCTTTGCACCTATATTCTTGTATTGCCCTTAGGATCTTTAGCTTTTTGTGAAGCCCTCTCCGAGTTAGAGTTGACTGCTTGGAATAATAAAGAGTTGCTCTTTATTCTGTCATTGATCAATAATTGTTTCTGTTTTCTCATCCTTTGCCTGGAGACTGAGATGTTCTTCAAGACAAACACCGGTTCTTACATGTCCTAATAATCCCCTCAGCACAGAGGCTGACACAGGAAGACAAAACCTTTGCCCAAAGATAGGTTGTTTCTTAATCACCGAGGCAGGCCTAGAATCTGGATATTCTTTGTTTGCCAGAGGGCTTTTGATTCTTTTCCCGGGATTTTCTCCACTTTGCTTCTTGCATATCTGGTTCTGATTGAGCCTGCACTTTTTTTTTTTTTTTAATATTTTATTGATTTTTTACAGAGAGGAAGGGAGAGAGATAGAGAGCCAGAAACATCGATCAGCTGCCTCCTGCACATCCCCTACTGGGGATGTGCCCGAAACCCAGGTACATGCCCCTGACCGGAATCGAACCCGGGACCCTTCCGTCCGCAAGCCGACGCTCTATCCACTGAGCCAAACCGGTTTCGGCGAGCCTGCACTTCTGAAAGCAGATGAAAGGCCAGTGGATGCCCATTCACCTATTTATAATAGCCTATATGGTAAAGTGACTGGAACATCTAGTCGGTGGCACGTGTCATCCCCCATTCAGCCCCCCAGTCCCTTCCCACAGAGGAGGATCAGACTCCTGTTTAGGCCCCCTCCCCGTAGTGGGCTTCCCAGACAGTAAGAGGGGGCAGGCCCAGCTGAGAGCCTCCCCCCCCCCCCCCCCTGCACAAATTTTCGTGCACCGGGCCTCTAGTTGGGGTAGGTTGAGTCTTCTATTGCATACAGCCCCCCAGCGTGGGGTCTGCAGGGTCACCCTGGGTCAGGCACTTATCCTCTGCCACTCTTTCTCTACTTCTCTCCAGTGTCCCGACTGCATTGTGAGAGTGAATCTTTCAAGATGGACCTTATCTTAGATGTAAACATTCAGATTTACCCTGTAGATTTGGGTAAGTATTGAATACAGAAAATAGCAGGAGACTTTTTGCCATTTCAGCTGTTTTCACTCTCTGATATTGCCGTTACTTTCAGGTGACAAGTTCCGGTTGGTCATAGCCAGTACCTTGTATGAAGATGGTACCTTGGATGATGGTGAATATAACCCCACAGATGATAGACCTTCCAGGTGAGGGAGTGAAGAAGGGAGTACTTGAAACATGCCCGAGAACAAAGTAGATAAGTGGTATAGAAAGAACCTTATTTAATTAAGTCATGGAATAAATGATTATCAGCAGAATCTGAGGAAACTTAAAGAAATTGCTGCACTTAAGAATTAGCAAGGTACCTGGCCAGTGTGGCTTAGTGGTTGAGTGTTGACCTATGAACCAGGCAGTCATGGTTTGATTCCTGGGTTGCAGGCTTGATCCCCAGTGTGGGGCATACAGGAGGTAGCCGATCAATGATTCTCATCACTGATGTTTCTACCTCTCCCTCTCACTTTCCTTCTCTGAAATAAATGAAAACATATTTAAAAAAAAATTAACAAGGTGTTAATCCAGAGCAGTGATTACATGCTTGTGTAGCTTTTTGATGGTGGAGGAAATGACTACTGAGTGACCTAGGCTGTATGGGCCTTGAGTCTTGGGGGGGAGTTTGGTGTGATGGGAGTTTGGAGCCCCATTGAGTTAAAATCTCAGTCCTACCACTCATTTGTTGATTAACCTTAACCTCTGTCAGCCTCGGTTTTCTTGTCAGTGAAAGACAGATGGTTGTATCTAGTTCACAGGTTTGCTGTGAGGACTAAATAACATTGTATTTGGGAAGTGCCTGTTGCTATAATGCTGGCACTTAGTTAGCCGTTACCAATTTTAAAGAACCTCTTATTGTTAACTACTTTAAAAAAATATGTTTTTATTGACTTTTAGAGAGAGAGGAAGGGAGAGGGAGAAGGGAGAGATAGAAACATCAACGAGAGAAACTTCGATTGGCTGTCTCCTGCACGCCCCCTACTGGGGATTGAGCTCCCAACCTGGGCAAGTGCCCTGACCAGGAATCAAACCAGTGACCTCTTGGTACATGGGTCGACATCCAGCCACTGAGCAACACTGGCCTGGCATTGTTAACTACTTTTCAGAGTAACTGCCACTATTGTTCCACAGGGCTGACCAATTTGAGTATGTAATGTATGGAAAAGTGTACAGGATTGAGGGAGACGAAACTTCTACTGAAGCAGCAACACGTCTGTAAGTTCCTTGGTCCTGTGAGAACCCTTTCACCCTGCCCTGTTCTGAGAATTTGGGACTTGCTTATCCTTCCTGGGTTGGGTCCTTCTCTTTAAGTACCTCAGACCTAAGCAGGACCCAGAAAGAAACTTCTGGGAACAGTTTTCAGTCTAAAATGTAGGCTTCTCACTTTGCTCTTTGTCAGGGTCTCGGCCCTGGTGGTCCAAATGAGAGACTGACAGTCTTGCTGTGTGCAGTGCAAAGGAAGGTTGCTTCCTTAGGAAATAAATGCAGCATCAAGTAATTAAACTGCTAGGTGTGCTTGTATGTATGTATGTATATGTATATGCTGCTACACTGCAACCCAATCCCTAGTTCTTTGGTTTCCCTGACTAGCTATTTTTTCTTTTCTTTAAAATCTTATTAAAACAATATGTGCCCTTTGTAAGAAATATGAAAAGCAGAGAAGTAATGTCAAGAAGGAACAAAAATCATCTATAATTCCATACCCAGAGGGAACCTTTTACATAAACATTTTTGAATAATTTAGGTATTTTTTTTCTTCTGTGCTTTTTTTCTTTGAGATCTTGTTGTTTATTACAATGTTTTCTTCTACTCTTTTTGCTTAATGTTATGTAAAACATGTTTCCCCATGTCAGTTTAGAGCTTTTCCTAAACATTTTAATAGCTGTATATCTAACATTCCAGTAAATGGATATATCTGAATTGATTTGACCATTTCCTTTACTCTGGGCATGTAGTATTTTCCACTTTTGCTAATATCAAAAACACTGCCGTGCATATGTCTGTGCATTCATTTTTGTCTGAATTTTGGTTCCTAGTGACAAAACATTAGAAAGGTGCCTCTTTTTCTTAGGCTGGGCTGGAAAGCCGCTGAGTAACAGCTGCTCCAAATCTCACACTCATGGGACTGGACCTTCTGTTTCAGCTCTGCCTACGTGTCCTATGGGGGCCTGCTCATGAGGCTGCAGGGTGATGCCAACAACCTGCATGGGTTTGAAGTGGATTCCAGAGTTTATCTGCTGATGAAGAAACTGGCCTTCTGAACCACTGGGAAGCCAACCTTGCTGCTCAGTCACTCAGGTCATGGACATTTGTTCAAGTCTGAGTTGCAGTTGCTGTTGTCCGGCTCAGGAGGGGCTGGCTCTCTGTCCACCGTGGTGCTTCTCTCCCTGGTCTGGACTCAGTGGGAAACTGACTTGCCTGTGAAAGACCCAGCGGGAGAGTTTAAAATGAACCAGAAGTTGTTTTTGTGTGTATGGTTTTTTTAAATTAAACTTTACTTTTTCAGACTTCTCCTCCCCTTAAATTTTTTTCCCCATTTACTTTAAAATCATTTTTTTTAGTTTGCCTATGGTATATTATGTCTCTGGCCCATAGCCAGATGATCATGCCAATGCAAGATCTGTCTCAGCCTTTTGGTCTCCATAGTCAGTCTCCTGGCTGACTATCTCCAACATTTGTCCTCCAATGTGATTTTCTACACAAGAGAAGCTATGGTGTTTTTGGCTCCTGGGGCACCCCAGGCGCAGAAGATAACCCTCCACACCCCATACTAAACCAAAAGAAACACCCCCCCTGCAGAGACCACTCATTTTCAACCCATTTCCCTAAATACTCTAACACCTCATGTAAAGACCTGAAAATGATGGGGAAGGAGATACCCCAGGCATCCCACCAGGGGACCAGCTTCCCTGGCAAAACGAGAGGTCAATAGAGACAACTGCTTAATACACACAAACCTTTCTGGATAGTTACCTGAGTTTCCCAGGGGTAATCAGAGTCCGGTATGCTTTCTCCGGTATGCATAGAATTCTGAATTGGCAAGGAGCCCTGCCCGTTGCCGTTCCAACTCTTTAAGTTGCTTAATAAGTCAAATCACGTCGACCTGAATGAGTCACTTGGGTAGCCTGGAAATGTTGCTGATTTTTAAGGAGACCTGGGGTAGAGGTGTTTATATCCATGCTTGGGACGCCCCTCTCAATTACATAGGAAGAGTGGATTCGGCGGGTATGGGAACACGTGGAGGAGCTAGCTGCCTGCTCTGTATTCCAGTGGTGACAGCAGACAGAGGGTAACCTACCCGTGACACTGAACCGTGAGCTGCTGCCCAGACCATGGAAGCGGACAGGGCACCCATACCAATGAGGTTGAGACTCTAGTGCCAGTGCCCGAAACAGTGCAGCAGCCTGACTGCAGTCACTACGTCAAACGTGGAGTCAGCATACATTGACGTAATGGTGATGCTTACAAGGCCTCCAGCAGGGGAGCTGGCTCTTCAGCCTGGCATGCAAGGTCCCTGAGAAAGCATACGGGACTCTGATTACCCCTGGGAAACTCAGGGTAACTATCCAGAAAGATCTGTGAGTGTGTATTAAGCAGTTGTCTCTATTGACCTCTCGTTTTGCCAGGGAAGCTGGTCCCCTGGTGGGATGCCTGGGGTATCTCCTTCCCCATCATTTTCAGGTCTTTACATGAGGTGTTAGAGTATTTAGGGAAATGGGTTGAAAAGGAGTGGTCCCTGCAGGGGCGGGTGTTTCTTTTGGTTTAGTATGGGATGTGGAGGGTGGAGAGGGAAATTAGAGATGCAGTTGGGATGGATTTTTATGGGATCCTACAGCCTTTCCATAGAGTCCAGTTTTGGGGTTGGGGGCAGGTAGAGAAGGTTGGAGTGGGAGAACCTAATGACCAATAGTAGTTTCTGGGGTGGCACAGCAGACTGTCCTAGCTGCTCTGGGTGGCAGAAGAAAGAGAACTGGCATACAGTTGAATAGAGATAGGGATGTTCTGGTTATAACAGTTTTTTGTTTTGGTCTATGTGAAGAGAAGAGGAGATAGATTTGAGAATGGGTTAGATATTCAGTGGAGACAAATTAGTTCACACTGGAGAAGCCCATGAGTTATTTACATTTGCCCCAGAGCAAGTCAGATGCCAATACTGGATGCCTGGAACTTTCTGGCTACATACTTTTTGCAGTTTTGCCATCTTTGTCTCATCTGACTGTGCTGAGAACTCCTAATTCTTTGTCTCTGGTCCTGTTGACATATCTGGTTCTGGGTGCTGCCTCTTTCATGTACCATAAAGGGTTTCATTTGATTATTAGATTTACTCTACTCTAGTACTGCAGTAAATTAAAATTTCCACTTACCATTCCCTTGACTGCATCCTGGGATTTGTAGTGTAGATGAACTGATTCTTTCCCACGTAGAAACTGACACCATTCGAGATTTGGACAACACTTTTGAGCTTGGTGCATTTGTTGATTCCTTCTCCATGGCAACTGTTCTGTCCATAATGGGGGAGAGGGACACCTGGAGATGTCTAAATTGGTCACTCGTACCAAGAGCTTTGGCCTTCTACTCAGAACTCTTTTATCTGTTGATGTATTTACTCCCTAAGGACTTGGAAATTTTTCCTAATAAATAGAATCACTGAATAACATTGGACAGTGCACCGCACTGGGGAGAGTATGAGCTCTAGACTAAGTCGGCCTAGGGTGTTTCTTTTCCTTCTCACAGGCTGTGAAACCTTTGGGAACTTGCCTGGCTTCTCCCTCATCTATAAAACAGAGTCACCGGAGCCTTAAAAAAGGCCCTGTGGTTCCTGGCACACTGACTTTCATTCTGCGTTAGCATGCCTCCCAGGTATTGGTGGCTGTGTTTGGAACGCTGGTTCCTGGCTCCTCTGCCTACACTGTAGACGTGCCTCTCCTGTCCCAGCTGCTCTGGGTGCCAGAAGAAAGAGAACTGGCAGACATTTGAATAGAGATAGGAACTCCCTTGTCATACAGTTTTTTATTTTGTTTTGTGTGAAGGGAAGAGGAGACAATGATTTGGGAATGGGTTAGATATTCAGTAGGGACCTTCTGGTGGGGAGGGAAGAGGAGAAACTTCCATTAGTTTCCCCTACAGGAGCCTCTGGAAGTAGTGTTGACCTTTTCAGTGGAGTTTTTGTTTCGGGCAATATAAACCTCCTCTCCTTTAGCACCAAGATGGCATTTATGGGCAAAGCCCCATAAGCCTGGCTTTTTTCTCTAGAGATCCCCTAACAGGGTTTATGGTGGTCACACAAGGCTGCTTTTTAGATGCTATTTACCTCTGGGTATTGGGAAATCAGCCTTCAACTTGTACTGGAGTTGTACTTGTGTCTCCTGCTGTGTGAGCCCTAGGAGACTGACTCATGCCACTTCCTGCACTTCCCCCGACCTCCACAGGAGGGAGGCAGGACCCCAAGCTCTGCGAAGCTTCCTGCTGAGCTGCTGAAGCTCTGGCTGTTTGCTCAGCTGTCATTCCAGGTCTTGCCTGAACTGTCTACACGTCCTTACCTGAGGTGTGAGGCACTCCTAGGCTTCCTGTTAGCTTTTCTTTTTTTTATTTTGTTAGGGAGGGGCAGAACTATTGCCCTCTGAGAAGAACATCTTTTTCTTAATCAGTTAGCTTTTGGGTACTTAATTTATTCTTTATTGATACAGGCTCAGACAGTCTTTCTGGGAGACAACGTCTCATTCATTTCTCAGGGGGAAGGGTCTCCTAAGAAAAGGAGATCAGAATGCCATTGAGACTGAGGTAAAGGGTTATGGTAAAGAGATTAACCTTAGTTCTGAGCAGAAGACCAAAGCTCGCGTTTCTGTTTTTCTGATATAAGATTAGTCTCTACCTTTGTTCAGAGGGCAGGCCAGTCCAGGCCTTTGAGGAATTATTATACGAAAAAGCATATAGAGAATTCTTAAGTTGTAAATTTGTACAGAAAATAGACCAACGATAACTAGCTGCTCTGGTGAATATTATCGATAGGATAAAAAAAATAGCTTTTCTGCCCAGCCGGTGTGGCTCAGTTGGTTGAGCGTCGTCCCATGCACCAGGAGGTCGCTGGTTGGATTCCGGTCAGGGCATATGCCCAGGTTGGGTTGTGGGCTCCATTCCCAGGAGGGGGCATGCAGGAGGCAGCAATGGATGTATCTCACATCAATGTTTCTCTCCCTTTCTTTCTCTGAAATCAATAAAAACATATTAAAAAAAAAAAAGCTTCTGGTGTTTTAAACAGTGAAAAACAACCCCCTTTCTGTCCTATGTATCTGCCTTTACCAGGGCTTTGTGTTCCAGGTGACAGCAGGGAATCTGGTGGAGTTGCAGTTGTCTCCCAGGCCTCTCCTCTGGGTAAGAGGATTACACACGGGAGACACTGCTGGCATTGGCAGTGCCTGAGTACCTTACTCTTCCTGAGACAGGTTCTGGAAGTGAGGGTGGGCCGCAGGTAGAAGAGGACTGGTAGGGTAGGGCATGGCAGCAGAGGGGTCAGGAAGCGGGAGTTGGAGCTGGACCGTGGGGGTGGGCACGGTGGGTAAAGGGGAGAAGAGTGTATGCTGTCCAATGGGAGGAAGGGTTAGGGAAGAAGAATATCCAGGCTGGAGGTTGGGTGGCAGGGAACCCATGTCCGAAGTTCCTGGAGGAATATTCAGGGCTCCAAGGGCCCTGGGTGAGGGTCCAGGAAAGAGTCCATGAGTTCCATTCAAAGGTCCGTGTGTCCTGTTCAGTTGTCCGGGGATTTGGTCTAGGAACCCGGAGGTTTGGTTCAGCAGACCAGGCCTCTTGGCTCTGAATCCCTGCAGCCTCTTCAGAAGTCCAGAGCCAGTAGTCTTGGCCGGGACACTGGAGTTTGTCTCCAACAATCCAGAAGTCCTGTTTGGAAGCTTGTTCGGTGTGAGGAGTAGAGAGGTACTGTGTGGGAGCGCTGTGGTGGGTAGGGCCCGCTTGGCACAGAGGGTGGGCCCTACCACATGCAGCAGGAAGCGCACCTTTCCTCGGAGCAGCTGCTGGAAGCTCAGGAAGATGGCATGGGGATCTTTGTGAGCTGTGGTCCTGCCCTGTGGAGGAAGCTGAGGGCAGAGGATGGGCCTGAGGCCAGAGACCTGGGCCAGATCTCATGCCTCCCTTGTCTATGTGGGTAGATAGGGTACCAGCACCCAGGCTTTATGGCTGGGAGGGAGCATTCCTTGGGAGGTCATCTCTTCTATCTCAAGATTCCTAGAATTCCTCTTCCCTCAGGCCTTCTGAGGAGACTGAGTCAGAAAAGAGGGACATTTCTATAGTTCCCTTGACTGGGGACTTACCTGGGTTCCAAGGAGGCCCTGCAGGGCCCCAAGGAGGAGGCGAACTTGTCCAGAAAGCTGCCCCAGTAAGAATGAGAGGCAAGTGGGTCCCAGCTGTCCCCGTGCTGCCATCACTCCCTCCAGCAGGAGGGTCGTCGCCCCCAGGACGTCCTGTGCCTTGGTCTGCTCCTGGGAAAGAGATGGAGGAGAGACGTGCACTGCTTCAAAGGGCATGCTAATAGCGGGTGGGGAGCTTGGAGGAGTAGCCAGCAGCATGAATCATAGAAGCTGAGAATTGGACAGGACCAAGGTCCCACCCAGCACAGGAATTCCTTCACAGTCTCCCGACAATTGGTCATCAGCCTCTGCTTGAATAACTCCAGTGTCCGGTAACCCTGCCTGGTCTTACACTTACTTTCAGTCAGAAAAGCTCTTTTTCTCTCTTTCTTACATTATACTGAAATCTGCCCTTTTATGGCATTTACCTCTTGGTTCTAGTGCTGCAAATCTCGTTCTGCTACAGAACCTTAGGATCATGTGATTCTTTTTTAACTGAGTGTAGAGATGAAACCATCATAAAGAGCATAAAGATGAAGGGAAGGGCTTGGGGGCATGTGGCAGAGCTGGAACTAAGGGCTCCCTAGGAGCTGCCCTTCCCCAGCCCAGCCCCCTAGGAGATCTGAGGGGGGAATGAGATTCCAGGGGTCTTGAGGATAGAAGAGTTGACCTACCATGGAGTGCTCCTTCCCAGTGGTTTCCTGAGCCTCCGACTAAAGCTCCCCATGCTATACCACGAGACTGCCACTTCGTCCAAGCTAATCAGACAGGCTTTGTATTTTTTTTTTTAAACCATTCCTCATATAACATGTTTTCTAACCTCTTCCTGCTCAGGTTGCTTCCTCCTGGGTACATGCTAGTTTAATAGATCCTCTGAATAAATTAGCGTGTGTCTAGTACTCAGTCCAGTATTTTTAAGTGCAGTCCACTTGGAATTTTATGGGGATATTTCCACATTATTGGTGCTAAACATTGAAAGCTACCCAGAACCACTAGGTTTTTAAATAGCTGCCTCAATAATGTTGTTACATGTGAAGTTTGGGGCCAACTCAACCCTCCTCGATCCTTTTCGTAGTAAATTCTAGGGCCAGAAGTTTCTATGAGGGAAGCAGGGCATTGTGGCCTGCAAGCTGGAGTAGGACTTTACTCAAGTACTTTACACATGTAGAATTTTTAATATATCTCGGTTAAATTCCACCATGTTTTGAACCTCGCCTTTCAGTGATTTGAATCTTGATTCTGTCTTTTGTTATTTTTGTGGTGGTTCCCAGCTTTGTGTCATCTGTGGCTGACAGGTCAGTCTTACTTATTCATGCCAACTTAAGAAGCTTGAATTGGAATAAGTCAAAGGCATGGCCCATGGGAGACCTCTGTCCAGCTTTTCATGGTGTTCAGCTTTGAATCTATTTAACACACTGGAACTGCAAGTCGTCATCTTGTCCAGAGGATATTATCACAGTAGAATGTAGATTGGGTTAGAGGGGCCAAGCTGAAGATGCGATATTTTCAGAGAGCTCAGGAATTTTAAAGAATCCACAGGAAGCAACAGGAAACTGATGAAGACTGGGCTTAGAGAAGCCCAGGGAAGGGCTGGCTTTCTTACCGTCTGGGTTTTCCATTCTCCCAAGCTAAAGTCCACAGCAGGCAGCAGGACAGGTGTGGGCAAAGGGTTAATGTCTGGGCACTGGCTCTGTTGAAAAAATTGGTGGGAGAGGGGGAGAGAAAGGAGAAGGGGACATGGTCACCTAGTGACTAAGATGCTTCCATGAGTAATAGGTCCAGATTAGTTTTAGAGGAGAGCTTGATTGCAAATCATAATCCTTGTCAAGGAGTGCTGATCAGGAGGTCATGGTCTTACCAAAGACAATAGTGGAAGAACAGTGATTGGATCAGGGAGCGAGAGGATTTGATGGGAGTGAGGGTACCTTACCAGTTAAACGGACAGAGGGGACAGTGCTAGGGGGTTCTCAACCAGTCTGCCGTGAAGGACATG